GTGGCAATATCCCAGGTCATCTCCCATTTTCTCCTCTCCACTCCACTCCTCTCCTCTCCTCTCCTCTCCTCTCCTCTCCTCTCCTCTCCTCTCTCATCTTATCACATGAACACAGTTAAGATCAAACAAATTACCATCCAGCGCAGGACATTCCTTCAACTGTCCTAAAGTTCAATATTACCATCTACAACTGCATTATACATTTCTGCAGAATACATTTCCCCTTGCATTTCAAGGAGAAATGGATGTTTTCTTACAGCCGTGTCACCACTATTAACAGATTGCAGTACATCTGTTCACAAGAACACTCCCCTTTTCTCCCAGGTAGAAGTATAATAAACACAGATGGAGTTTTCCTGCCACGGGGACCACCTGGAGAGAAACATGGTGGCCCCGAAGAGGGACATGATGAAAAACAAGTTAAGACTCACAGAATGTCAACCACTTGGCACTTAAGCACCATATAGGCGACAGTTAAAAGCTCTTCTTGATATATGTATGCATCAGTTTTAATTATTAAAAACAGCCTTGCCTTATGTTTCAATGTATTTGAATTATCGAACATGTCACTGCTGGGGTATCTACTTAAAGGCTACAAGGTTCTACTCTAAAGAAAGTACTGATCACATTTGAATGAAGCTCGTTTGAGGGTTGAGACATATAGTGGTGTTATTTATTGAATTCACTGTAACGTTTTTAAGGCAAGATCAGACAGTACTTCAACAGAGACACACAAAGGTCTGGTCTCATACTGTAGCAAATACGTTTTATTATATTATCTATAAAACATGTTTTATAGTGAATTAACTTGACTTGGTGTGAGCGAGTGAGCTCTGAATGACAAGTTATCAAATGCAATTGGCTTTTCAGCATTGGAGAGAACATGCAGTATTAATATAATGGAACAAACTAATGATGAGTGTGTGTAGTCTGCAGTGAGAAGCATTTTTAAGAAAAAATGACCTTTTGCAATTTAATTTACTTTTAATAAAATATACTGCTGTGAGAATACATCAGTAACATTTTGCTTCCTACTGATTTTTCTTTGAGGCCATTTGATGGCAGCCACTTAAAATTCATTCATTGCTGATATTTTGTTTAGTTCAGTAGGGGTCCACATAATGCAACTGTAACAAAAATAATTTCACGAAAATAAACAAGTAAGTCAGCATCTAATGTAACCAAATGATACACAGTCTTTGTTTTTGTCAGTCACCTCCAGCTACAGCCCGCTTTACCTCCCTGAGAGAGTTTGCTGGCTGGATCGACAGAAACACTGTGCTGTGCCTCAGAAAGGCTGAAAGGGATGAGTGCATCAACCAGCACCAGTAGCTGTAGATGCAATTATCCACAAGTTCTCATGTTTTGCTGCTAAATCAGAGCAGGAAGCTGCTCTTCAGAGCCTCCTCAAAATCAGACATTCAATCACCACATGCAGTACAAGAGGCAGTGAAATGTCTCAGACACAGACTGAGAGACTAAAGGACGGGGTATACTTGAAAAGAATTAGTTCGTACAACGTGTTGTCCGACCACTTGAGAAAGCAAAAGTGTTAATAACTGTTCCGAACGGCCACACTCGAAGACAGGATGAAAAGTGTGCCATCAGAGGGAAGGAGAGACCAATAATCATTTAAACATGATAAAGGCATACGATTTCAGGCAAATTCTGTGTAACTCAATTGTACAAGTTCAAACCCTGTAGTTTCTCACCCCCAAACGCCTGGACGATCACTGAGTATAAATGTCACTTTTGGAAAATTATATTTTAATGTCAGAAAGGTGTGGGTGGAGCGTTTGAGACCCTGTGATATGGTTCGTGCACAGTGCTTTTGCATTATCATAACATAAACATTTTACATATCAAACATTGTGAATCAAAGACAGACATTAAAAATAGAAATAGAAGTATTGGGACAAGCTGATAAGCTACACTAAATCCATATTCTCAGCATGAGTATCAATGGGACCGATACCTTGTGTTCCTTTTTTCATTTTTGGTGTAAAGCATATTTGAATCTACAGGTTTAGACACTAAAGGCATAAAATGTTATTTTTTACATTAGCCCAGTTATGGTGCATCTCTGGGCTACAGAGGAGGTGAATGGATGTGAGATACTCTTGGCACAGCCAAACAAAATCAATCAATAACAGCCATTGTGTCAGAGATGCCATGATCGATGTGTTATGCCACAGGGAGGATATTTATCAGAAGGAACAATTAACTGTGAAGGTATTTTTTCTCTAAAAAGTTGAAATGGTTTACATGCTAAGTGTCGGCTGCACAGACTGGTGTTCATTCATGTATAAAACATACAGAGTTCTTGCATCCCTCTACAGTCCCACATTCACACTCTCTCTTGCAATATTGTATCCAACACAACACAACTACACTGATCAGTTCTTGTTCTTTGGTCTATAAATAAGACTTCTCTGTCTGCACATGCCATTCTGTGGTGGCACTGCAATGTGCAAGTGACTAACTGTGAATGAAGCACTTGATCTAATTTTGGATTGTGGCCCTGGTGAGGATGAAAATATCGAACCTAAAGAAGCAATTCTGAATATGATCCAGATTCGCGAGAATATTAAAAGTAATTTCCAAGCAACAGAATTTCCTAATTCTAGCTCCTCAATTGTGAAGATTTGTAGTTCGTATCCTATGAGAGTAAAGAAAATGCGTCTTGTGTTGGACTGTTGTTGGTCAGGCAAAACAAGATATTTTATGGCATCACCTAGGCCTTAACCCTTCATAGGGCACTCATTGAAATACTTGGACATTTAAAATTTCAACCCTGGAGTGTTATTGGTGGATATAAGAAGACAGTTTCAGTTTTAGGCTGAAAATCCAAGTCAATGATGTCTAGGTGGGCTGGCACAACAACAATCTGTGGCACAGCAGGCCTCCTCTTCCCATAGAAGGACTGAGCAAACAGCTGCTGCAAAAGAAATATGCCACATCAATATACTATGAAACTATGTAATAAATAAGTCATAGGCAAATCAAGATCAAGCCCAGTTTGAGTTATTTGTGAAAGAAAGCAGTAACAGTGTATAAGAAGTGTATATTAGTATATCACGCCATAGAAGTGTAATAAAAACTGTCATAAGAAAGTTACCATATATGTGTGGAAAATTATAACTGATTTTTTCACAATTTCCTGTCCTCATGTCCATGAATACAACCCCATTATCACCATGCCTGCATGCAAACATTAATTGCCCCAGTGTCTTATATGGGAAAATAATATAAGAATTGTCCTTCAGAAACAAAGTGTACCTTCCATAATATCAAACATCTAGTAGGCATTAAGTTGACTTAAAACAACAAGTTTGTAATCTGTAACTTATTGCTTAACAGTATGGAAATACAAAGGTGTTGAACACACATTAGAAGACATGAAAATCACGAATAAAGCTGAGAAAGCAATCTCTTAAACTGCTACGATTTTAACATCTACACTTCCAATGACAACTGGGAAAACTCCTGTTGGAGAAGATCATGTGATATAATTAAAAGCTCCAGAACAGCTACTATATGGAGCTTGTGCTGAGATCCTTTTGTCAACTGTTCTGAAAGGACGAGAATGATCTCCCAGTCTTAAATCACAAATAAAGTTAATGTGCATGTGAAGGGACAAATAACAGAAAAACAATAAGGTCACCTCATGCTGTGACCTTATTGCTATTCAATGATGACTATATTCATATTATATCACTCAATCAATAATGACTAGGCGTTATTGATGAGCTTTGCACGGATACAAATTGCATTTTCTTTCCCTCCTTAGAGACTGGATGGGTTAAACCACTTCTGCTCTGCAACACAGATGAGCATTCAGCCCATCGGCAGATATCATAATCACAGGGTGGCTTTTATCTATTAGAGCTGTCATACCCCGTGTCATGTGCTGCGGTTCCCCACGGGGACCCACGGCTGTGCGGAGGTCGATCCACCGACTCTCTGTCCCCTCCCATCGCCGTCCCCTGCCGCCGTGCGCGGCCACACCTGCATTAAACGGGGAAAGTCCGTCCGGTGGAGAGGCAGAGAGACTGAAGCGCTACAGAGAGCGGACGCAGGAAGCGGAGCACCTTCAGCAGCTCCCATCGCCAGACCCTGGACACTCTGATCCGAGAGGGTGAAGCCATGAAGGCATGAAGGCAATAAGTGGTGGTACTGAGACTTTGGAAACCGTGGACACAGGCAGGGGTTTAGGATTAAAGACGAAGTAGACCGGCACGATCCGGAATAGAAGAGACCGAGTCTGAGCGGCTGAGCGCACAGGTAAGATGTTTCTGATAAACTAAATACAGACAGAAAGGAGCTGCCCCGTTACAACTTTTTTATTTTTATTCAAACAGCTTTTCATTTGACGGATTTCTTTTCTTTATTTTCACTCTAAACTTGTTTGTGAGTGATTTTAGGTTCAAAATTCAAATGTTTTTCTTATTACCCAATGATAAAAACAATAATAAACAATACTAAATATGTATAATAGCGATGATACCAGTTATTATTATTACTATTATTACTAAATTATAAATCTAACATTCCTCATGCAGCCTGTGTGTGGTAATCAATAAACTAGTGAGTTTATATCGAACTTATATTGACTTGCTGATGCATTAAAAAATGAATGTTGGATTTAATTCGTTTTTTTCGTTAAACTGTGACATAATATTTGTTAAATAACTATTAATAAAAACCTACATGTGTTAATTAACCATAGCTGAGTATGTGCTGGTGTCTTCCCTTTCCGTTTTTACCTTTTTGTTTTGCTTTATTTATTTATTTATTTATTTATTTATTTATTATCTACTATATTTAGACAGATGATTTGGTTTTATATTTCTATTTTCGTGCATATTATTAGTTTTCTTGCTACTTTTTTGGCTAACCCTATCATATTTCTCTTGATCTTAAAAGTCATCCAAAGTTCCCAGATGAAAACCAACCTCTATTGTTTGTAAGGCTGGAAGGCTCAATTACAATAAATACTGCCATCTTTTGTCCGCCAGCCACTTGTGTACTGTTCTTACCTGCAAGTAAATATTTAATTGTTATAAAGTAATACATAAGCAGACAAGACTACCTATTCAAAAGCATTATCCTCTTAACACATCTATTGTTATGACTTCTACTTATCTATGAATTATCTTAGTTGTGGTGTCACCCCCCCAGTAACAGTAATGTTTGTTCTGGACTTTCCAGAAAGAATGAGCTCTCTATTTGGCTTCCATTAAAAACAAGGAAGTAAAACATGTTGAATTGTATCACAGGCTAACCTTTGCACCAACAGAATGGTGTGTAGGCCTACATAATACACTGTAGATCATCAATACTTGAGGTTACTGTCATACTCTGAGGTCAGTTTTAGCTGCATTGTGGAAAATTCATAAACCACAGAGAGAGGAAGTTTTGTCGATAGCTAGTGCGATTGGAACAGATCAATGCACTGTCCAGGCATGACCCCCTCTGTTACTTTACTCATATAGATCTGTTGTATCTAAAGACCAAAGATGAATCATGACAGGGCATCTGAAGTAGGTTACATGCTGTCGCTGTCACTAACACCAAATATACTTTAGAGATCTTTTAAGATGAGGTCTAACTCTTAAAAACAAGTCAGGCTGAAAACAACATGTGATAGACCTAATTAGAAAAGAGCCTGAAGTCAACACAGAGCGCTGGATGAAAGAACAGGAGGAAAACAAAGTGAGTCGGTGATTGTGTCTGTGGATGACCGTGCAAAGTGGAGGAGTTATATGAGAGCTCTGTATAGGTGAGGTGTGTGTTTGGGGTTGTGTACAGGTCTGTGCGTGTGTGTGTGTGCATGTGTGTGTGTGTGTGTGTTTGTGTGTGACATGGATGCAAGACAAAGAGTAGAGCAGAGAGTAGGCCAGTATCTTAAATATCCCCGAGAGGCATTTTGTTTCACAGTCAGCAGATACACAGAGTCAGGCATGTAGTGTGTCGTCAATAGCAGCTGTACCAACTGTGTCCACCTCTGTCCCCTGGGCATAACATGCGTCCACCTCCTATTCAGTCCAACTAATTCATTGTAGAGAAAGATGGTGAAAGGTTATATAGACATTCTTAAGTTGAGAAAAGTCATTTTCTTTTTTGCCTACCCATCTCAAAATAATAAAATATAACTTTGAGCTGCTCTATGTCAAATTTTCTATGGCAACGTTAGCAGCTTGATGTGGCTGAACTGTGCTAAACGACAACATTAGTAGACCAACATGCTCACACTGACAATAGCCTTAGCCTACTAAGCTGATGTTTAGCAGGAATGATGTTTGCCATGTTCACTATCTTAGCTTAGCTTGTGAGAAAGCTAACATTTGCTAATTAGCACTGACCACAGTACGAGTACAGAAGAGGCTGATGGGAAAGTCATTAGTTTTGCAGGTATTTGGCTGGACCATTTCTTGGCCATGACCAGTTGCCAGGCAACCAGGAAGTTACAGGTCTAGGCCAAGTAATAATCTGGCACAACCTAAAATAGCGAATTGCTGTTTTCACACTTTGTTTTTTGTACAAATTAAACAAACATGATGCAATGTGTTAATTAATGAGGTTTAGTGGGGCTGGCATCAGTCAATCTGTCTGTACCACATTTGGCAATCCATTCAATAGTTGATATATTTCCCTTAAAACCGCAAATGTCAACCTCATGGTGGCACTAGAAAAAAAAATGTCAGTTAATTCTCTAGGGAACATGAAAGTTTGTACAAAATTGAATGGCTAAAAAATACCAAAACAGTTTCTCAACCTAAATCATAAGGAGCTGCTGCAGTATAGAGATGTCACTTCAATCAGCAAATAAGATAGACAGGCAGACATCGAGCCATTCATTACAGTCATAATCACTAGACAGCCAATATCAAATTAGAATATGCTGAATATCACCTCTGAACCCACTAGAGGAAAGGAGGAGGGTTAAAAAAACAAAGACAGAAGAAAAAAAAGAAAAGGTAGCCTCTTTTCCATCGTCAGCAGGAGTGAAGCAGAAGGGGACCAGCATGTTAATTGGTGATTTGATTAGCGTTTTAATATTGCAGCTGTGCATGACAGAGGAAAGCAACCGGCTGTCCAGAGGTTTCTCTTTTTAAATCATCAGTGACTCCTCCAATGCATCGCCCGACACAGCTTAGTCATTATGCACGTCATACAGTTAATTTCCACCAACGTCCAGAAATTGCCCCTGTTTGGTAATGAAGACTATTTAATGGAAACAGAAATATTAAAGCCATTTTGAGTTGGGCCCAGCTTGTAAAAAGACGTATTTGGTTCCTGCCATAGTAAAAGAGCTGAATGGGGCCCACAGCCTGTGCTAACCTGAACTAGATTGGGCTGGGCTACATTTTGTCTACAGCAGTGTGTACCGCCACTGAGAGGAGGAAGCTCTATTTAAAAAGAGGGAAATGCCATATGCCATGCTAGATAACAGATGGAAAATGTTTTCTGTACATTTTCATGAATCATATTTTGATTATCTGGGCCTATATTGTGAATGTGTGTTTGTGTTGGGAGTTAACAATACAGGGGAATTTTACTGAGGTTGATGAATAGGTGGCTTTCTGCTGGGAATGATGGGTAGTAGATGCAAGGGGAAATTAGGGGGTAATGACACCAAAATCTCTCTGAGAAAACAGTGTAAACACCGCAGCATGAAACAGGTGCAGCACAATGTGTATAAGTACGTGCTTGCATGCGTTGTGCCACAGGGGCTTTGAGTCAGGCAGCATTACCTGGAGCCAGAGGGGAATCTGTGGCAAAGGCAAGTAATCCCCCCCCTCCAACCCATACACATATCTCTTTCTCTGACACCAAAACGCCGAGCAGACAGCAGACGGGAGAGATAAGAAGTTAGCCAGATAAAGGAGCATTGGTGGTGAGACAGATGAGAAGAGGAGGGAGGTAGAACAAAGTAAGGAAGGTGTGGAAGGCTGGGGAGATAAGCAGGGAAAACAGATGGGGATGAGAGTGTGTGTTTGTATGTGGATAAGGTGTCAGGGGGGCAGGTCTTGGCTGGTCGTGCCAGTTGGGGTGATGCTGTGCCATAAGCTGAGAAATGAGCTCGCTCAGGAAGGGTGGAATTAAACCAGGAGCCAGAGAGTAAGAGGGAGAAATGAAATGGGAGAGGTCTGTTTAAAGTCTCCAGAAATATCAATGACCATTAAGACTACAAGTCTATAGCCATGCTAGTGTGCAGCGTGCTAACAAACTCACAGTGACAATGCTGATGCAGGTATAATGTTTACTTTGGTAACCATTTTAGTTACAACTGCTAATTAGTGCCAAACAGTCCAAGGGTGAACAGTCATAGCATCGCCAAAGTGACTATATTGCACTTGGCAATCATCCCATAGACATTCTCTCATAGTGGTGCTAAAGAAAAAGTCAACCAAAGTTACATCCTCTGGAAACCATGAATGTCAGTACAAAATTTCAGGGCATTAATCCAATAGTTTTAGAGAGATTTCACTTTAGACCAAAGTGGAGGACTGGCCGCCTGACTAACCAGTACTGCCATTTCTAAAGTCATGGCTAAAAAGAAATAACTGGATTGTGTTGTGGCTATGGCCGCAACCTCGAAATGATTCCAGTTAAGAGGCACATCTGTGCATCTCCTCCCTTCTTAAATTTTAAGTGGCTCTCATTTTGATTGGGCACGTAATTAAGACGATACGATAAAAGACACTAATCATACATCAGCTTCTAGAGAGGAAGCATCTTTGAGTTTTGAATAAAGTGATGCAGTTACTGTTGAAGGGATGTAAGATGTAATTCTTTTGCAGGGCTTGCTTATTTAGTGCTCTCCTGTTCTGTCCTGTAAGCCATAGGAGTGAGTTTACAGTACAGTATGTGCAGCTGATAAAAGTGTCTTTCTTTCTTTCTGTCTTAGGTTTTCCCTTGTGATCCCTGACAGAGCGAGGACAGTGACACTGACTCGACCATTGTCTCTTCACTGTTTCCAGGCAGAGTGAGGCTCCCTGGGTGCCTCTGCCGTCCATTGTGACTGTAGAGAAGAAAGAAAGATCCAGCTTGTCTGCATAAAGACCTATTCAGCATCATTTCTCTTTGCCAGCTACACTTGCAACCCTAAGAACAGCAATGAAGTCTCTGCACTATCCCTAGCACCAAGCCTATCTTCTAACCCCGTTATCCCTATCCCACTCTCTCAGCCCATTCCTTTTCCCCAGCCTCAGCTTCAGCCTCAGCCTTCTGCCCCATTCGGAGTCCCAGATGACAGCTCAGAAACATCCGTTACCCTCCCACTCCACACAAGCCTTCTTTCCTCTCCCTCCAGCCCCCATGGCGCTTGGCACCAATGCCCATCACATAGACAGATGGAGCCAACCCTGACCCCTCTCCTCGCCCGTGGGGACGCCAAGAGAATCAACGCCTGACTAGAGGAGGGGGGTGGGGGGCGGTGTCTGTGAGTGCATGTGAGGGGTGACAGGAAGGAGGGTGGAGGAGAGTATTGCTTTGTCACCACGGCAACACATCGCCTTGTCTCCCGTGGACTTCCCTTCAGCCCAACCCAAGGCCCTCGGATGAAAACTCACACAGCAGGAAATTCAGCAGCAGGACCAGAAGGACCTCTTTTTTCTCCCTAAATTGTGCCTGACATATTTTCCTTGGACTCTTTGGCAGATATATCTTGTTCCATGTTGTGTGTGGAGAGAAGATGCGAACACTGACAAAATTCTAAATATAGGAAACATCATTTGAACAGAAGCTGGAAACCACAAGAAGACAGATTCTGAAGGAAAGCCTGCTCTTCAGACTTAAGTGTTCGCTGAAGTTTTGTGAACACCACAAAAGTTTAATTCTGAGACACTTCCTTTTCCCTCTAGCGTTTGTGATCTAAATGAACGACAGTAAGATAAGCTGCAGTCACCTGGCAATAATATTGCCATTTTCACTTGCAAATCAATACGTGGGAGGGATTTTTTTACAGTAAGAGTAACTGTTTTCATCGTGCTTTCCAAACCAGAATAAAGAAGAAGCTTGACCCTGACAGCAAAAAAGGAAATACATGTGGGACTTCAGTCAGAACTTCCTTGGGTGTGCATGCATGCCTTTATCTAAGCTGCAACATTCTGCATTACACCTCTGCTAACTGGTCCATCATCTACTTCATGTCGAGGCATTTGTAGTTTCCATCATCTGACTTAACCTCCCACCTCAGTTGCTGCAGTTGTTACAAGAAGACTTGGGCTACTCCACTTTCGCTGGATGTTGTTGCCGTCTTCTAACCTACTCTGCTGACCGGCATTCTGATTAGCATATAATGCCAGACAACCAATTTTAAAAGAACCACGTATCAACAATAAAATGAGACACTAATGGCCGGTGAAATGAATTCAGCGGGCTGACATAACAGAGGGGGGAATACCGGAGTCCCAAAGCTTCCCAGGTAATTGGAGTGCAGTATACTGTTTTTTACTCGAAAGCACAGCTCCTCTGGTGACCTTGCAAGCCGAGAACTTAGAGGAGGCAGATACAGAGAGAGAAAGACAGAGAATGATACTCCATGTCCACGGTTTACGATTATCTTTAGGATTTTCATAATTACTGTCTGTGCATTTGCATACCACAGACTGTTTGAACTGTTTCCAGTTTCAACTGCAGGGCTGCGCGTCCAGGGCACACTTATTATTCCTGTCACTTAAAGAAATCCATTTCAGATATAGTATCTGTTTCAAATACATTTCTGATAAGGATCACTGGTGCATCTTCCTATAGCCTCTGCAAGATACATTAAACAGTTAAATATGCTGATATAACCATCAGGTTTTGTTGGGTAAGTTACTGTCAGATTCAATTGTCAATCCAAAACTCCCAAATTGGGCCAAATGAAGGGATAAAGTGGATCATCAATAATACTGTTTTTCAATCTATTTCTTTTTACAGTCAGATACAGTAGCACATCGGTGGATCCATATTTTATGAATATGCAAAGAGCATTGTGGGAGTTGTGTGAAGATTAACAGCTAAGGTGTGAAGATTCATCATTAGACATCATCATTAGACATGTCCAGGAGGTTTTTAGTGCACAGGTGTAGAGGGCGGAAATGTTCCATTCCTGACTAAAGGCTCCTTTAGACTGTGTGACAACAACAATTGTGTTTATTGCATGTTGCACTGGGATAGATGGGTCTAGCAGCAATCACATTGTGAGGTCCACCAGCCACAGCTCCAAATCAGCCATCTCACCTTCATGACCAGTGATTTTATCATGTTCCTCATGATTGTCGACTCAAAATTGTGTGTAAAGGTGCCTTTAATTCCAGATGACCGGAGAGCTGAGTCATGTGGAGTTGTATAAACAGTTTGTGCCTCTGCACCTGATTTCTTTTCTCTATTACTTAAAAGGAGGCCAGTGGAGAGTGAAGCAGTGAGTCAGTGCTTTTGTAAAGATATTTATGAGGCCAATATGACACAGCTGATATGACAGAGTCTAGAGGTCATATAAGTGATAAAAGAGTAAAGGCAGACACAGTCCAGTGGTTATGTGTGTGTGTACCTGTCTATGGGGATCAGAGTGTGAGAAACACAACATGGAGTAAGATATACGCGTCTTGTTAAGGGTTCGATTTCATCTTATGATCTTTGTTGCGTGTCATCGCCTCCCGCTCGATCACCCGCTTGCGTCCCTGCTTCACTTTACTGTGAGCTATCTAAAGAAACAGAAAATAATCTTTCATTAACTTGTACTGCATGAAGGAAGATGTTCTTTTCAAAACCTTAATAAGACAAAGGTGGATAGTGGTGGAATATCACATGTTGTCACCTTAACACCTTTTGGAGCCTCAATTTCAGACACAAAAAACATACACACACCTCAATTACTGTGCTATTTCTGTGGCGTTACCTGTCAGTGACACTGAGCTCAGACCAGCTGGGATTAATTAGTGATTAAACAAACACACACGCCCACACACACATAAAAATGCACCTTAATCTCTGCCTTTCTGTGTGAAATATACACAATCACATCACCAGTGAATAGACACACACCTTTCACTTTTTACTACTCATTAACAACTGTTCATTTTTGCAAAACACACACACACACACACACACACACACACACACACACACACACACACAATCATCCATCAGATACAGGATGTGAAAAGCTTCCAGAACAGCATGTTGCCAATAAACACCCCTCCTTCTCTGCTGTAATTACCTCACTCTTCATTTCACACCTTGTGTATGCACCTCATATCTCCCCATGTCACGGCGTTACTGCTCTGCCTCAGCATAAGGCGATACCTGTCCACACTAATAGGAAGTGTGATCTTGCATTTAGTTTGTAGTCTTTTTGAAACAGGCAGAAAAATTTGGATAGAAATTTGTTTCTGTCACTGCATATAAACTGGTTTCTAGAGGTGCCACATAACAAGGTTTAAAAAACAAGATTTTCAAGTCTGAATGTAAGATCATGTTTTGCTTGTTCAGATTGACATTTTTATTTTTTATTTTGCAAAGTAGTGTTTGTGTTAGCGGAATCCACGGCCGGTGAGGACAAGCTGTAACTCCTGTCAGCTTGTGTTGGGCCGCGTGGGCTTGTGCCGCGCACTGCTGACTTTGATAGAAATAAAGCCGCTGACAGGTTTTAAAAGACAAGCTGTCGACAGCCACAACCTTGAGGATGTTTGTTTGTGTGTGTATGCATGTGTGTGTGCTGTATATGTTTACATGTTTGTGGTATGGGGGTGTGATGAGGTTAGACACTACAGTAGAGAAATTAAATGTGCTGAGGTAAGGCAAAGACTGAAGGAGGAGAGGATAGGGAATAGAACAAAATATATGTGACAAGAATGAAATTGGCAGGTATAATGAGCCTTTAACAGATGTATGGAAAAACATAACAATAAAACACTACAGCACAGTATGGCCATGGCACACATTTGGGATAAAATAAGATTAAATTAAAGTACGGGAGGTTCAAATTGGAGGATTCATTGAGCGAGCTAGAGTGGGTGTGTGTGTTTGGGAAGATGAGAAAAAGAAAATTTACATTTGTGCATTAGCTGTTTGATTGTGGGGGGGGTTGTTTATTCTATCAGCAGCTGATGCTTGTTTTATCCAGCCACCTCAGTAGTGGCAACTCATTAGCATAGTGATAATGAGAGATAGAAAAGGTTGCCGGTGTCAGCACACCAAGTTTTTTGCACAGTCAAAACAGCAAATTTGGATGTTCAGAGAAACTGTGTGTATGCGTGTGTGCGCATCTGTAATTTGATTGATTTTGTTCCGCCACGTACTGCAAAGATACACAAACTTAGAACTATAAAGAGTAACTTGACACCAAGCTGAATAGTACTGTTTCACTGACCTTTGTTAGATGTCTCACAGCATCACTGTTGGGTTCGGTCAGAAGGATGTTCTATTGCACCTGTTTGTTTGCACCTGTAACCGCACAATACCAAGGTGTGCCGAACAATCCCTCTAGGTGCACTTCTACATCACTACAGCAAGTTCAACCACTGGAAGTTAGCACAAACAAGATTTTTAGTTGGCGTGAAGTTACTCTTTAACTCGGTTTGCACAGGTCAGAGCTTTCAAGGTGTGCAAAACAAGCAGACATTAAACCTGCACTCCAGAGAGCCTTAATTGGTCAGAATAGAGGGTTTAAAGTCCAGATTTTAGTGCTTGTTAAACCAAGCTCTGTCTAACATAAATGAGTCCAGCCAGGGGTTTCCAAATTGTTTCATGTCGAGGACTCAATTTAGAGGCCAATTTGAGAGGATTTTGTTTTAAGGAATCTCCTCTGAGATTTTATTTTTTATTTTTAGGTTTGAAGATAATAAAGTCTTCATAGTCAATATATGACCTGGAACATCTTTAAATTACAATCAATGAATCGTGTGATTTATGGAACAGACCATATGTACTGGTCAATCATACAGTTAATGTCAGTCATGCACTATAAAAGATCAATAATTCTCTGCCCAACAGTGATATGAATTTGTTACATTTGTGTGGGCATAGCTCTCATGAATTAGAGAGGTTACACAGCTACCAGTGGCAGAGACCCAGTAGCACCCATCAGCAAATAAACACCACTTTATATATATATGACAAATGGAATCAGACACTGTACAGACCCTGTTACATCTACATCTGTCTTCTCTTCCAGGTGACTGCCACGCTGCAAAACCAGACTGGAAATTCTGTGGATTTTTTGATTCTTTGCTTGGATGTTGAAGCTGTAAGGGGGATTTTGATCCATCTCTGTATTATAGTGTGAGCTATAATCATTCACACAGGACCAAGAGACCTAAACGGATGTTGTTAAACATTTGTATACAAGCCAGAGTGGATAAAGCTACAATACACTGAGCTCAATCAACTGTTTTAGTACATTTGCTGCATTACATTCATTTTTGATCGGTGTGTATATATTTTTAACTCAAGCCACCTTTGAGATTCTTCAGGATAAAATACAGAGCAACCCTTTAAAACTTGCTGGTCCTGACACACTTGCGGTAAGTGTTGGTGAATAAAGTAAGGACTGAAAGGATTATCACGTGGATTCTGTCTTCTCTGTGGTGGTGGCTACCTTATTCAGCAGAGTGGGAGTGGCATTAGGATGCCTGAACTGGACAACTTCGCCCCCCTGAGGGGTCCCAGGGGCCCTGAAATTGGTCTAAATGGTGCAGCAGACCCACTTCGGATTCAGCACAGCATCCTGGAGGAGCAGGTGGAGCTGTGGTGGTTCAGAGATCCTGGGAAGTCTCTGCTCTGCTACTGCGTGTCTGTACTTCTAATCCTGGGGTGCGGGCTGGGCGGCGTGGGCCTTCTATCCACTACCACCAGTGTCTCAAGCGAATGGCGGCTGGGGGCAGGCACAGCCCTCTGCCTGCTAGCCCTGGGGGTCCTACTGAAACAGCTGCTCAGTTCGGCTGTGCAGGACATGAACTGCATTCGGAGCCGACAGCGGATCGACGTGCTAAAAAGTGGTGGTTTATCGGACCTCCTTGTGGTTTTGATTACCGGGCTGTCGTTGTTGATTTGTGGCGGGGTTCTACTACGTCTGGCCCTGGCTAACCACATGCCGAAGCCTGGTCAAGCCCTTAATGACATGTACATCTCTGGTGTGGTTTTGCTTGCTGGAGGGGGGGCTGCAGTTGTGGGTGTTGGGATATACTCTGTTGTGGTTGTCCTGCTTGAAAGGACAAGGCACGGACGAAGGTTGGTGGACCGGGTTTTGAATATCTTCACTGTTTCTGGACACATGGACCGTCATGCTCGCAGAGAGACTACCTCCAGTATGGCTAATCTCATATGAGTTGTAACCATACCAAGACTGTGTATTTTGGCCCCTTGCTCCTTATGTCAGAACATTTAGCCTCAACTAAATTAGAGCAGGATTTATACCCAAATATTACAAGAAATCTGATTAAATCAAAATTCATCCCTTACATACTTTAGCTTTGTCACGTAGCTGATGTGACTGTGTATGAGGCTAAATTAGTTGAATTCTCGATATCTGCTTGGTGAAGATGTTGGCAATAAGCAATCAAATCTCAGTCACAGAGTAAGGGGTGAAATGATTGAAGAGTAACACACTGAAGAATAATTGCTACATGGCTATGCTCACAATGCAGCTGAAAATGTCCCAGTTAAGATTGTTTTCTCAACATCATTATCATTCCTCACAAAGCAGAAAGAGAGAAATAACTGGTGGGGGAAAAAAGTGAAATTAAATCCATTTACATCAACATTGCCAGTCATAGAATGTCAATGCACTTGCAAAGGTTTGAACTAATTCAGATGCTGTAGCATATCATTTTATATTTAAGTGGTATTTGAAAGCTTAAATCAGCATTTTATTCTTTAATCTTACTCCATACACACAGGACAAATATAAAAACATTGGAGCCTGTGGCAGTTGGGTAGAGTGTTAGTATGCAGCTAACAGTTACGGAAGTTGACTTAAGTGAAATGAAAAGCACACATATAAAGCTAGAACACATCTGAAACTAAAGGAGAAGTGTTGGTTCACAAATAGAAGTTCAATTCTTTGGTGTCATTGGCTAAGTGCATCTGCCTGGAACTAAACACAAAGGCCTGTAGTGTCTGCAATGAAATTTGATTTATATAGTTAATAAGTTATTTCCACAAATTATATTTGAACAAGAAGTGGTAAAAGGATTAAGCCTACACAGATGAAGTGACAAACCTTAGGTGACACAAGGTCATTGTTAAAGGGGTCATCTACAAATTGGACTCGCACATCCAAGATAATGTATCTGTCATGAAGGTGTATCCTGTCAAAGTGTCCTTGAGCCAAACATCTGACCACTACTTGCTCAATTATTGTAAGATATTATGGATAAGAGCACCAGCCAAAAGGCTAAAATGTAAATGAAAGATACAGAATGAGTGATAGATGGGACAACATACATATGCATATTTAAAAAAAAATCTTTTAAAGATTTTTTCTTTTAAAGTTTTTTTAATGATTTATGCACAATATATGACAATATTCAGCTGACAAATTTGAGGGATTCGTTGACTGTGGCTCAAACTGAGGTTGGTCAGTGGGTCAGAGGTCCAGTAAACTCCGACTTTGGAATGACTCCCTGTGATCTGATTTCTTTTCTCAGTTTAATAATAGTTTAACATAATGTTGTAGGACTGTGGTGTTTGTGACAGACTTTGTCAAAACTTCACTGTAACACTTGTCTGTATAATACAAGACAACATGATTGTTTATTATATCACAGCACTTTAGAATGTAATAATTTGTGTTTTTTGTGCATCAACACAGTATTGTCTTGCTGTTAATCTCACAGCGCCTTGTTTTCCTTAAACCTGCTTTAATCTATATTTTTGATATTAACACTGAATCAATTACTGTTTAATGCAAATGGTCATTCTGTGTGTGTGTGTGTGTGTGTGTGTGTGTGTGTGTGTGTGTGTGTGTGTGCTGAAGTCATCGCCAATCTTTTCAACTCTGCTGAGTTTCTCTAGCCTCTTAGCTCATTGTTTTTATATGTTTGACTTTCATTGTTGTCATCAAACCTTGTTGGCATACATTTTCAGCTATAGCTCTGATAAACTCCAGTGCACACCATTCACCCGCCACCAACGAGCAAACAAAGGTACAAAGTGGCTGATGAACTAGCGAGCATCCTGCTAGCTAATGATCCAAATATTTTCCTCAGGAGCTGGTGGGTGCCAAATCAGAGCTAAGGAGACTGCTACTGGACTACATTAATCAGAAATCGAACTCTATTCATGCAAATGTGTCTGCTGAATATAAAAGCAATGGTCCAAGGCTTATGCCAAACCATGCCATCTAACAATAGTTTGCTTCCCAGAACAATGGATGGACACGCCATTGTCAACTCTTATTTAGAAAAAAAAGAGTGTTTTCAACAAGTCGTGGATACACAGGGCTGCACTGGGTACATGCAAGCAGTGGACAGTTTTAAATTAAATAAAGCAAACACATGTAAATGTATTTCTCAAGGCTTTTAACTATTTCTTTAAAGTTGTGGCATTTTTAAAAGGCGAAGAGTATTTGATCCAAACCAGAACTTATCCAATAGCTAGTGAGCAGACCAGCTACAGTAGGGCTACAGGTTTTCAAACACTCAATGGCTCTCTTTATTTTCAGTTTGGTGTGATTAATGATGTCCATTAACTGTGGCCAGTAAGCTGACACAACGTTACTGAGGAAGCAGGTCACAGAGTCCAGAGGGTCTTTTTATGATGTTTGAGATTGTCCTTGGAGCATGCTGGGACAGGTTTGGAGGGACTTAAAATAAATAAGATGACATAACTTAATGGTCTTAATGAACCTTTTGCAATTGTTGCATGCTAACAAATTTGCCATAAAGATGATATGGTGGTAGTGTAGTTGTGTGTCAGCCATCTTGATTGCCCACTGGCCAAGAATTGATTAGTGCAGCATTAGCACGAGTGCAAAATGCAGGATAGTTTTTACCAATTGTGGGAAAATGCGACATTCAAGGAGCTCGGATCCTTTTACAAGATGGTTTCGGGGAAATCTGAGACTGGGGCCAAAGTCAGAGGTTGAATCAGGAGCACAATTCCTTTGACTCCAAGTTACACTGGTATGTTTTTTAGTGAGAGTAACTTTAATTTATCACTAAAGTGAAGGAAAGAATGGTGCACATTATTTGATTTTTATAATTCTGATTAATTTATGAATAATATGAATAATCTCAGTGCACTTCTCTGAATGTGATTCATGGTTTACTTTCAATTTGTCCCTAGGCACAAGGATGTAGTTGGGGGTGACCATTGTAGTCCAAGCACTTCTGATTTATTAGATGCATTATTGGCTCAGATAAAAGGTCATTATCATTCCTCACAAAGCACAAAAGGAGAAAAAAAACTGTTGGGGGAAAAAAACTCTGCGAAATTAAATCCATTACATCAACATGGCCAGTCATAGAATTTCAATGCACTTGCAAAAGTTTGAACTGAGTTGTCAATATGCTTAATCATCTTCAGGGAATCTACAGTACGGTGACATTGCTGTATTGTCTCATTTGTTTCCAGTGTTACAGCATTTACTTTCAAAGCAAAAAGGTCCCTTTCTGTGGGAAAAAAAACACTATTAAGAATAACTGCACAGTGACAAATCAAGGTCATTCGTGTTCGTAAAATGTGTCCAAAGCCTTTGAGAGTCATTCCTCACACTGCCTTACAGAAGAACCTCAGAAAAAGGTCCTGCATTGTGTCTCATTTGTGTGTGTGAGTCAGTCACGCCTCTTTATCTGTCTGCACATACGCACAGCCTATTGCCTTGAGACAAAAGGAGTCACACAGTTAAACATTGTTGGAGTGATGACGGACAGCAAACTGAAGGCACAATGCACAAGGCAGCGGCCAGTAGGGGCTGGTATAGACTAGCACCATCTCTCTCTCTCTCTCCAACACACACAGAATAAAGCAAGGCTCACACTGAATTTTTACAGCACACACAGAAATCCTGTAATCCTTACTTACATGAATCTGTATTTTGACCTACAGTTTAAAGTAGCAATGGCAGGTTGTGTGTTCATGCGTGACAGCAAGAAGAGGTGAGCAGAGCGCCGAGGGAGGCCGGTCTGAAACTGAGGAGGGAGCAGTGTGTGGGAGGAAAAGATTTAAAGATTATTTTCTGTCAAGCCAAGACAGTGAAAATATTTGAACACAAACAATTTAAAACAGACAAAATGTGTTTTGCTATTTAGTCTAAATGAAAAATTCACCATTTTGTCCTAAATCACAGTATATTTTTTGTATCAGAATTGTCTTAAACATGTGTACTAGTGTATGTCCACATGTATCAGACTATACTTCTGACAGATTTTGACATAGCACATGAAAGCACATTTAGTTTAGTTTTAGTTTGGCTGTCATTAATCTGCTGTAGGTTAAATATAATTTAGTTTTACTAAATCATTAGTAATACTTAAATGAAGTGATTGATATGTATGTGTGTGATCCTGTTTGAGTAACCAACAGAATAGTTATATAGCACGATTTAAAGGAATAGTTCAACATTTTGTCACAGTCCTGTGGTCATTTCTGAGCTGGTAGGCAGATTTTGTTATCTTGGGAAAGAATCTAACTGTTGCTAACAGTTTTCCTTTCTTTATGCTAAGCTTAGCAAACCTGTTGCTGGTTTTAGCTTCATATATAGCAGTACTGTCCACTAATAAGTTAATTTCTTAATACATTTCATCATATTATTCATCCATCACAATTTGTTGAAACAGTCTTGTTAGGAACTGCATTCAAACCATTTACAAACGAAAAAGTATTCCAAAACAAGATACAAAAAATGTTTATTTTCAAATATATCCCTTTGCTTCCTATCGACAAATTGTTGATAAATTAATGACGACACATGATAACACACACTTATTAACAATCCTCAATGGTGTCTGAAAAATGTCCCCACACGAGAGAATGGAATGATTGTAACAGAAGGTTTTGTCTTAACAACAGAGATGCAATAAATCGACACTGGACTCTCTTCTTTGCTGCTGGCAGTGCAGCTGACCTGATGTGCTGCAGTGCATGCACAACAGAGGGAGTGAATTACACCGCAAACTGCTTTGAAGACGTATAGAGGCCTGCAGAGGTCGACATATAAAAAAAATAGTCATGGAAAAACAATTACCTCAACATATTGTCAATATTCTCTGATTCTGCAAAGAAATCCCTTCAGGTTATTTTACCTTTGCTCCCCCCACCCCATTTTGTTCTTTTCCACAGGGGACTAACTAGCGCAGTATAAACAACAGATAAAAATGACAAAGAATTCCGCACCATACTCATTCCTTTAGACTCGGCCTCAAAGCTGCAAGCTGATTTCGAGCACAAGGACAAGGTTACAGGCCCCATGGGAGAGCGTTGACGGTATTATGTTACATTGCCAATGACTCCGACAATATTGTGCCTTATTAATCATTGATCTGGTCGCTGGTGTTAGTTTCAGTGCACTGAGGATTATATTCACAGTGCTAAAGGTGATGATACATAGGCAATTTTTTTAAGGCAATGAACACATAAAATAGAGGTTCTAGCAAAACATATGCCTTTGAGAGGGATGAAGATGAACAGCCAAGTTGAAATTTACCGTATATGGATAATCAAGTGGATATTAAGCACAAAACATATAAGGAATAAAAACCCTTACAGTATAGATGCTGACAGATGTGGTGTAGTGGTTTAAAATCCTCCATGCAGCAACAGGAAAAAAAATGGGATGGAGTACATGGAACACATCTGTATTGTAATGGCCCTTTGAGAAATGAAAAATGACAATGACTCATCACAGTTACTGTATATTGGCACTACACAATCTGTCGGTTTACATGTTACACAGTAGAAAGCTACACGTTTCAGAGGACAATACCCAAAAAAGATAATGCTTCAAATCTCTTAATAAAAAAAAAAGTTTTTGTCTTTGTGAGGAAAACATGATTAAAAATAATGTCTTATTCCCCAAATTCTGCTCTAAATTAACCTCGAGGGATATCACATTAACAGCGAGGAAATGAGAGCTTGCCAGAACCAGACGGTGTCACAAAGTCATGAGTTCATTATTCGCATATTAAAACATTTTACTCTAGTCCTTAAAAAAAAAAGTCACAGGTCAGAGGTGATGCACCAGCCTTTCCCGCCTGAGTTGAGAATGTCCTACTGGAAGAGATGATGTCTTGTTTCTGTTCAGAGTGGTGAAACATTTCCTGTGTCCTCCTGCACTTGTCCTCTGCTGTCCATTGCAGACAGGGAGCCGGACAAACAGAGAGAGGAGAGGAGAGGAGAGGAGAGGAGAGGAGAGAGGAAGACAGACAGAGAGAGAAAATATCCATTCGTCTAGCAGCATCTGTGCCCTTTAGTTTGTCCGGAGCTGGTAATCTGCCAAGAAATGTAACAGCAGAGCATTAACACAGCTTTCTTCCCCTCATCACCCCTGCACATCACATCACTGCCAATATAAGCCATATTAAATCCCTAAACAAGATTTGCACAAAAACTAGCTGTAGTGGCATTCTACTAAATCATATTACCAATATTTAACTCATCTCTTTCTTAGATATTGAGGTTTCAGACTGTGAAGAGTCTTGTCAAAAGAAAATGAAATTCTAAAAATCATTCACATTTACATTTACTATTAATTCATTGCAAAATCTCAATATTCAATTGGCAAAATCTGATTTACTGAGTTATGTTGCACGTGTGTACCCAGGACTGTCTAATAAAAAAGATAACATGGTCTCACCTATCCACATAGTTTTTGTACTGTTGGTTTGCAGCTGTTCTCCTTTAGTTATAATTCATGGAAATGTTAATATTTCTTTTTTTTAAATTCTTTATTCAATATTTATATAATAAATAGTATGATTGGTAAATAGTATATTACCAATTATTTTTTCAGAATTAAATGCTCAATGAGAGATGTGATCGAGTTACAGGAGCTGGTGGAACAGAGGTTAGCACAGAGATGACTTCAGCTCTCTTTAAAGAAATGCTTTTTGCCAGCTTGCGTTGGAAAGAACTTCACTGGCATGCACAGAGCCCTGACCTCAGCCCCATTTAACATGGTACGGACGAAATAGAACACCAACTGCAAGCCAGGTAGAGTTCAAAGATTCACTGACTATGTAGTTTGTACACTTTTGTCCCCAAGTTACACGTTTTCTATTCAAATTAGGGCTGCACATTTAATTGAAATATTATCGAAATTGCAATATGGTCAGGTGCAATATTCAAATTGCAGAAATTGCAATTTTTTGATTAATCATGAATTATTTTACAATCTTAATATCTGACAAATTAATCATATATATATACATATATTATATATATATATATATATATATATATATATATATATATATTTTACCATATCATGCAGCCCTAATTCAAATGCATTTCAGTATGTGCAACAGTTAATGAACACATCAATGATTCTGCCTGTTCAGTTGTGGGGTA